ATCTCACAGAACCTTTTTTTTTTTTTTGGTTGTGGGGCTTGAACTCTGGGCCTGGGTGCTGTCCCTCAGCTCTTCAGCTCAAGGTGAGCACTCTACCACTTGAGCCATAGCACCACTTCTGTTTTTCTGAGTGGTTTACTGGAGATAAGACTCTCACAGACTTTCCTGCCTGGGCTGGCTTTTAACTGCGATCCTCAGAGCTCAGCCTCTTGAATAGCTAGGGTTACAGGTGTAAGCCACCATCGCCTGGCTGCTCAGACCCTTTTCATAGAGAGAGATTTCTCCAGGTGGTGGACAGGTCCACTTGGAGCAGCAATCTGAGGACACTGTTCTGATGGTCTTAATAGATGAGCTTCCTTATCATAAAGTTAGGGGAGGATGTGGAAGGAGCAGCAAGTGGCCTCCAGGGGTAGAAACAGCTTTAGTGAACAGCCTGCAGGGAAACAAGGGCATCAGACCTGTCCCTTGCTGGGTCTGGATCTTGTTGAGAAGGGGAACTAACAAGGCACCTTGAGCTCCAGATGACAGTGCAGCTGTGTCAAGTGCAGATCAGAGGACCCACCATGCCTGCCCACTCTTGATCCTGTAAGTGACACGAGGAAATGATTGTGGGAAATGACTGGGTTTGTGGTAAGTTGTTACACATTAATAGAAAACTAGCACTGTTGTAGTTGCAGATTCATGGGTCCTAGCGAAGCAGGATAATTTATGGAAACTAAGGCCTGGTCTAGGCAACTCAGAAATGTGGTATCTAGAAACTTAGAAATGCTATCTTTGCTTCAAAGAGAGGAAACTGAATGCATTCTTTCCTAAGGGATGCATTTCTCACCCAAGAATTCACGACTGCCTGACAGGATGCCCCAAAATGCAGATAGCAGGGTGTCTCCTTGTTTCAAGGGTAAGGATCTGCTTTATGGCAGGATGCATTCTTACTTGGAAACTCAGAGAATAATACCAGGTGTAGTTAAAGCAGAGACAAAGTGCCTAGCTTTGCAAAACTTAAAGCCAGACCCACTGCCTTTACCCTATAAATACCCAACAGCTCAAGGAGCTGGGTGTCTTTCTGGGTGTCTCCTTTGTGTGTCTCTATCTGTGTCTGTGTCTTTGTGTCCCTTTAAGAGCACCCACACTCTGCTAGAGTGTGTACCCTGCCCTTCTGTATGTCTGCTTTTTTGTCGGTCTGTAACTTTGCTTGTTTACTTAATAAAGCTCTGCCAAGTTTTCTTTTTTTTTTTTTGGTCCGGTCATGGGGCCTGAACTCTGGCCCTGGGCGCTGTCCCTCAGCTCTTCAGCTCCAGGCTAGCACTCTACCACTTGAGCCACAGCGCCACTTCCAGCTTTTTTTTTCTTTTTGCTTATGTGGTGCTGAGGAATCGAACCCAGGGCCTCAGGCATGCAAGGCAAGCGCTCTACCACTGAGCCACCTTCCCAGCCCCTCTGCCAAGTTCTCTTACCATTGTGACTAGTCCAGAAATTCTTATTCTGCAAAGTCAAGGACCCTAAGTGAAGAGTTCCTATATTTAAAGGGAAGCTTCACTAAACCTCACCATTGTCAGGTGACAATGCTCTGCATAGAGAATACTGATTCTGCCTTGATTACCTCTGTAAATGGCTTGAATCACCCACTTCTAAGTAGCCTCTATGGAAGTTTGACACAAATCTTCCCTAGATGGAAAAGTTCTGCTGGTACCTGAACTTGTACCTGAGTCTGTCCATAAAAAGGTCTGCTTTTGTTGTGCTTGAGTTCCTCCACCCAAAGCAAGTGACTTTTGTCTTTAAAAGCTTTGTGTAATCTCTGTCCAGGGTGCAGATCTTTGCGATGGGAGTCCATCTGTAGATGCTGGCCTTTTTCATAAGGACTCCTGATTCAATCTCTCAAAATGTGGCTTCTCTGTTTTCTCACCATACAACAATTTTAGTGGCAAATGAAAAGATGGTCTAGGTCTAAAAATGTCACAAGATGGTCATAGCCAATATAGCAAGGAGAAGAGGAATGGCGTTCAGAGGAAAGAAAGTCCAATGGGGCATCAAGTTCAGGAGAATGCTGGGGTCAACAGGACTCAACCAGGGATGAGGGTGGGAACAAATGGGCGCCTGAGAAGCTCACACTGATGAGTGGATGGTGGTCGGGGAACTTAAGTCACACATGAATCTTAAGTTACATATGGGCCAATCACTGCTTCTTCCCAGCATCACTCTTGGCTCCCATGAGTTCATGGGGAAGGGGATAGAAAGGTATCTACTAGAGTGAGTAGAAGAAAATGGGCGTGTAGGGGTGATGTCACAGATTTTGTGGAAGTCCTCAGAACTGGAGAGGGTACAGAGAGGTCTAGCCTTCTCACTGATGGCTGTATCTTGTCAGCTGCTTTTTGCTGGTGTCTGTGCTGGGCCTTCAGAGTCCCTCTAGTAGATTCCCCTAGGCAACTGAACCCTTGACAGCAGTGACCACAACCCTCATCCTAGGGAGCCTGGGAGTTTCCAGTATGAAAAGGCAGGAATGGAAGGGCAGATGGGTCAGGAGGGGAAGACAGGAAAGGATAGGACAGAGAATTGTGTGTTGTTCTGGCCAGTTCCCTGATAGTTACACAGTGGCTTTCACAGCCATCCCTCTAGTGCCTACAGCACTGGGTAGAGAGGACTCCAGCTCATAAGCACCATGGTTTCTCCGCTGAGAGAGGCTGTCTGAATTAAGATATTGTTGACTCCTCCATCTGGAGGGAGTACTGGGCCCAGGGAGAGGGGATTCGCCTTCAGGAGCCACTTACCAGTCAGACCATCTTGGTGAGGTAAATAGGGTTAGCCAGGCCTTAGGTGCTCTCAAAAAAAAAAAAAAATAAGGAAACCAACCATTTTCATCAGTTCTTTGGTCTTATTTCTAATTGTGGTTCAAGTTTCTGGGTCTGTGCATTGATAACATCAGTCACCCTCTAGCAAAGACTTTAATCTTATTTTTCAATAAGGTGCCTGTTTTCTTCCTCAATCTGGTGATCAGAGAGCTTAGATTCCATCTTTAGTAAGTGCTCTAATGTTCCCGGCTTGTCTCTAAACCTCCCATTGAGTAAGAAAGAAACTGAGGGGCTTGTGAATTTAACAGCACTTCAAGCTAGTAGTATGGGAGTGTCTTGAACTTAGTTTTCACTCCAGCTCCCAAGATGGGAAGTAAGATATGGGGAGGGCAGGAATGAGTGGAGCAAAAGGAGGAATAGTTTCCAGGCTAAGGAAAGAGAGAACATGAGTTGAACAGATGGATCTGACAGGGTGGGAGAAAAGGTGTCACCGAAAGTCTCAGCTATAGGTATCTCCATCCAGGTATGAGGCAGAGAGTAGGGTACTCAGTACTGGGCAAAGGAAGGGGAAGGAAGAAAGGGAAGAACTGAAGTCCTGGTGACCAGACTTTCACAACTGATGTCTATGAAGCCGTGGGCTTCTTCCCTGGTGTGCTTGCTTGGAGGAGGTTGACATGATTTCTCCACCCCATACTGACCCAGGATTGGATTGCAAGTGAAATAGGAAATAGGACCAAATGAAGTAGGGCAGGATTTTGATTGACACTGCATCTCAGCTCACCAAAGATGGCAAGGTGGACTCCTTCTTCCAGATCATGATCTTCCGTAACTCTGCTCAGTGGTCATTTCTTTATTTAAGTCAAGCTCTTCGATTCAGTGATTTAATCGTGTTTATTTCATCCCTCTGATATTCTATTTCTCTTCTCAAGATTGTGGAAGAAATCAATCGAGAATTTTTGTAGCTCTCACAATGAATAGCAGCAGTTCTTTGCAACAACTGTCAGGGAAACCTGAAGACTTTTCTTTGGTGTTTTACTTTTCTCTCTAATACTCCTTAAAAATCTTCTCAGCTAATGTATGATTTGAGATCATAGAGTGGAACTGCACATAATTCTTTAAAAAAATTTTTTTCTATACATTTATTAGTACACATCAATAGTACAAAGGTTTCAGTCTGATATTTCTGTACATGCATAGAATATTTTGATCATATTCACCCCCTCTATCAATCACTTTTTTTTTTGTTGGTTGTGGGGCTTGAACTTTGGGCCTGGGAGCTGTCTCTCAGCTCTTCAGCTTAAGGCAAGACTGCATATAATTCTTAACAACAGTGAATGACATAGCATTTGATATTGAAGTTAACTGATCCTATAACTGTAGGAAGAACTGCAGTTGACAAACAAAATTTTCTAGCAGATGTCAGGATTTTATTGGGCAAAAATAAGAAATTTGTTTATTTTACATTCTCTGAAAAATTTCTCCAACAAAACCCAAGATATTGGCTGGGAATGTGGCTTAGTGGTAGAGTGCTTGCCTAGCATGCATGAAGCCCTGGGTTCAATTCCTCATTATCACATAAACAGAAAAAAGCTGGAAGTGGTGCTGTGGCTCAAGTGGTAGAGTGCTAGCCTGGAGCAAAAGAAGCTCAGAGACAGTGCCCAAGCCCTGAGTTCAAGCCCCAGGACTTCCAGAAAAAAAAAAGAAAGAAATTGAGTGAATAGATAAATGAAGTTCATGGCATGAGCTGAAAAAAAAAAATCTTTCTCAAGTATAGTAAGCCTGCCTAATTTGTGATTGATTACACATTATTTTAAAGAAATGCACTCAACAAAAATGAAAAACATGACAAAGTCAAATAGAAATGATAAAAACAAATTCCCTTAAGAATCATAGTTGTGAGATTGGCTATGTTTCCCTGACTTAATTTTTGTGAAAATCTCCTTCACAAAAAAACAAAAGACACCCAAAGTGCAAGATAAAAATTAATGTGCTTAATTGAGATGACAATGTGATATAATGAAAAAGCAAAAGTTCAGCAGAAAAAATGAGCCAAACATCAGTGGTATAGATCTACACCCTTAAGCATCATGAATATTGTGTGTGGTATTTTCTCCATGAAGTTCTTCTTGGAGCCATACACTTGAGCTAGCAAAGTTCTACTAGAACTCTTCTCTTCATTTCAAGACTCAATTAGTTTCTGTCTTCTTTTTAAAAAATTGGTCTGCATCATTAAAAGATTTTTCTTATACTTTTCCTGAAAGTAGGTTGCTAGCTGTAGACTTCTCGTTCTTCAGCTCCAAAATGTACGAGATATGTCTGAAGACACAGAATGTTCCGTGGAAAGAATTCTGAACATTATGGGCAGCATGATTCTCAGTGGGTTAGCTACTAAGAAAGGAAGGTGTTTCATGTTACCAAAGCCCCTCCAGGGGTAATTTTAGTTGACCTGTATCAAGCAATTCAGAAGGTCTCTTCTAGAACAATGATAAAGTGCCCATGCCAGCTTTCCCACTGTGGCTCTCTTATTGCCTTCCCTCATCAGCCACTTCTGGAGCATCTGGTAGACTTTTTCTCTTAGTCCATCTCGCTCATAGTCATGGTCAATTTCATCAATCTGAGACTCAGCGAAGCCTAGAATCCGGGCACAGGTTTTCCACTGCTTTCCCAGGTGGGCCCTGACTGGGTTCAGGTGTTCATCAGTCAGACTTCTAGTATCACCTGCCAAATGGAAAAGAGAAAGCAGCTATGAGCCACCCCAACAATCTACCTTCCTGGATTGTGGAAAAACCAAAGTAAAGGGAAGAACATTAGGAGGTAATGAAGCAGATAATCGCTAAATATGGAGTTCTTTACTTATGAGATGATACTTGACCTGCCTGCTAGTCTGTAAGAAGTCTGTGTGTGACTTAAACCATGGTACCCCTTCCTCCTGGCAGGTACAACTGAACCTAGATGATGGCATTTTTTGTGACTAAAACCTCTCAGAAGCTACTATGTTGTGTTCTCTTCAACCTTAGTTAACAATACAGTTTGTTTAACACCTCTTTTTTTTGGTACCAGTATTAAGAAACAGTATTAAGCTCAAGATTATTGTTTTGCCATTTGTGTTACAGTCCCACTTATGGTTTTGTGGTGATCAATGAGAGGTAAGATTCCCATGGACTTTCTTGCCTAGCTGGTTTCAAATCAAGAGTCTCCCATCCCAGCCTTCTAAGAAGCTAGGATTACAGACATAAGCTACAGTAACCCCTCTGATGTGAACCTGAGGAATCTATTTCTTCCAAGTCTGAATAATAACACTTATGCTGATGAAAGCTGAATGCCTTTCTAGAACTTCCTATGTGCCAGGTAGTGTTCTAAGACTTAATACACAGTGACTTAATTTTAGCAGTGAAGTCATAAAATTCTGGGATTCCCCCCATATTAGATTTTCCCCATATTTGTAATAAATTACAAAGGGATTATAAAAAGAAACACTGAATAGATTTCAGTGAGAAAGTTATCACAAGAAAATATTTAACATTCCATTATATTCCCCTGAACAAGCAAGTTAGCCTGCCAGATGTTGGATTGGTTATTTACTTTGTTGGATTGGTTATTTATTTATTTTACTTATTTGCAGTGCTTAGGATTAAGTCTGAGCACTGTGCATGTCAGCCCAGTATTCTACTACTGATTTACCCCCCAGCCCAAAACTAGGTCCTTAAAAAAGCATCTTACCAAAGATATCTTGGTACTTGGAATCTAATTCTTCTTTATAGTCAGTACCTGTGCTGTCTAGAAATTTTGAACTCACGCCACCAATCTCCATATAATTACAGTTTCCAATCTGAATGCCACTGCTGTTGAATATTGTATATTTTATGGACTCATCTGAATAGAGAGAAAGATAGAGGTAAGTCAATAAGATCAAACCAAGAGAAAAATTGTAGGACTTTATTCCACATATTAAAGTGAAATGAGTGAATAAATTATCTCCTTTAAAATGTGGCTACTTTACTTCACACTATTAAGATGACTACTAGAATAAAAGTAGTGTTGGCAAAAATGTGGAGAAAACAGATCCTTGTACATAGTTGAGTGTAAGATGGTGCAAGCATAGGGGGAAACTGGAATTTTCCGAACAGTAAAAATTAGGTTACCATGTAATTCTGTAATTGTCTCTCAGTATTTACCCTAAAAAACTTGAATGAGAATATACTTCTACACCTAGAAGCATTATTCACAATAGCCAAAAGGTAGAAGCAACCAATGCCTGTCAACAGAACCTTTTTTTTTTTTTTGGTTGGTTGCAGGGCCTGAACTCTGGGACTGGGTGCTGTCCCTCAGCTCTTCAGCTCAAGGCTAGCGCTCTACCACTTGAGCCACAGTGCCACTTCCGGCTTTTTTCTTTTTGCTTATATGGTGCTGAGGAATCGAACCCAGGGCCTCATGCATGCAAGGCAAGCGCTCTACCACTGAGCCACCTTCCCAGCCCCCGGCTTTTTTCTTTTTGCTTATGTGGTGCTGAGGAATCGAACCCAGGGCCTCATGCACGCATGCCAAGCACTCTACCACTGAGCTACCTTCCTAGCCCCAGAACTTTTTTTTTTTTTTTTTGAGACAGAAACTCCAGCCCAATAGCAAGCCTTGCCCTTCTCAGTGCTGGGACTACAGGTGTGTGCCATCATACCTCCCCTATACCAGAATCTTAGTCTGAGAAAGTAAGTTTTGATACCTCTTGAACTCAGAAGACATTGGCTAGGTGAACTATTAAAGGACAAACACTCTGATTCCACTCACATTAAGATACTTAGATCAGAGACAGAAACTAGAATGGTGGTTAACTGAGGCTAGGGAAAAGAGTGATGGGGATTTAGTGCTTAATGGGGGAAGAACTTCAGTTTGGGAGGATGAAATGTTCTTGATATAGACAGTGACCTTGCACAACCATATGAATGTTCTCTATGTCTACACAACTCAAAAAGTTAACATGGTAAATTTTTGTTCTAAGTATTCTACTAGAATTAAAAAATAATGTGAACTAAGTACTGGTGGCTCACACCTGGAATCCAAGCTACTCAGGAGGCTGAGATGTGAGGGTCACTGTTTGAAGCCAGCAAAGGTAGAAAAAGTTTGTGAAACTCTCATCTCCAATTAACCACCAAAAACTAGAAGTGGAGGTATGGCTCAAGTGGTAGTATCCCTGAGTGGAAAAATCTAAGTAAGATTGCCAGGCCCTGAGTGCAAGCCCTGCTACTGGCACAAGACATAAATTTAAAAAAATATGGCCTAGCATGGCTACCCATATCACCACTATGAAGACTGAAGCTAGAGGATCTTGAGTTCAAGTTAAGCTTGGGCTATGTACTGATTAAGTCTCAAAAAAACCGAACAAACAAAAATTCAGCTGCCACTAAGTCAGGAAAGAGGTGGACCAAGCAAATAAGGCTTGGCTTACTTAAATGACTGCTAAGTGCCCTTACACTTTGTTCAACCAACTCAACCTCTCAGGTCCATATTCAAAACTAGCCACAGTTCCCTGCTAATCTTCTGACACTTTCTTCTACCATCTCCTCCCTCTCTCCAGGTTAAAGGCTGGGGGCCACTAACTTTCGCACAGATCCATCATAAGGTAGTCCTCCTTTGCACCAACTGTTCCCTCGGCCTGATCTGCTAGTGTCAGCTATGAGTTCCCAACAGAGGACCAGGTGAAATCACTGTCCTTCCTTGAGCCTACACTGAAATCCGAATCCTAGACTCATTCCTCTGCCCTCAGCTGCTGTGCATCAGTCAGGTCCAGCCTTCCCCACTAGTGTGTGAGTCCTAGGTGGGCAAACACCATGCCCATTTATTTCCTAGTCCTCGTGGGAGCTTAGGGCTCACTGTAGGCTATGTACCCAGTGCCACTCATGCAGCAGTGGAGGTGTCCAATGTGTTGCACTAAAGATCATTTAGCAAATTTTTGAGGGGTACAGAGGAATGAAACAGTTTTGAGGAGAATGAAATTTAGTGAATCAGCTCAGGAGGCACCTCTGGCTCTCAAGTCCAGCCCAGTGGGAACAGATGCCACAGTGCCTGTGTTCATTTTTCTCAATGAAGCCAAGGAAACTAGTGCTCTACTGACATGTGGTGTATGATGCACACACCCAGAGGCTGAATGCCATTTTGGGTGATCCATGGAGCTACCATTTCTCTCTGAAAAAAACCTGGCTGCAGTCTCTAGAGTGTTGTCTGCTCTAAAGGCTTCAACTTCTGTAAGTGATCATGAATAACAGCTACAATGAGAGCATCAGCTATCATTTATTGAACTGCCTTACCAGCTTGATCCTCCCAGCTAGCTCACTGTCCAAGGCTTGTGCTGACTGTTAACGAATAGGCTATGTTAATCACTGGCTCATAGGAGGTTAAGTCCAGACAGCACTTTGACTTAGTGCAATTTACCCCAGTATTTTACCCCGTACTTCTCCACTCCATCACGAAGCCAGTGAATTTAATTAGTGTTATATAAAATAATGGGTTTCATTATAATTTTAGAATCATATTCATATTTGCTTCATCTACTTCCTTGTCCTCCTTCCTATGAATCTCTACTGATAGTCATCTTCTACATGTTCCCCCCCCCTCCTTCTTTTTTGTTGGTCGTGGGCCTGGGCGCTATCCCTGAGCTCCTCAGCCCAAGGCTAGCACTCTACCGCTTGAGCCACAGCGCCACTTCCAACTTTTTCTGCTTATGTGGTGCTGAGGAATCAAACCCAGGGCCTCAAGCATGCAAGGCAAGCATTTTGCCACTGAGCCACCTTCCCAGCCCCTCATGTCCTTTTTTTAGTAAAGAAACAAAACAAATGTACATGGGATAAAACATGAAATATTTGTCTTATTTTGGTTAACATAGTGATCTCCTATACAATCCATTTCCTGAAAGTGGCTTAATTTTGTTCTTCCTTATGGCTGACTAATAATCCATTGTTTATATAGCATAGTTTCTTTATCCATTCATCTAGGCTAATTTTGTAACTTAACTATTGTAAATATTGTCTGCTGACTCTGATTCCTTTGAATATATATCTAGCAGTGATATAGGCAGGATCTTAACTTTTTATTTTTTGCTGTACTCATTCTATAGTGGCTGGATTAAGTTACCTTTCCACCAAGAATGTATAAGAGTTCTCTTGTCTCCTGCATCATCGTTAACTTTTGTTGTTTGTTTTCTTGATTGTTATTCTGACTGGGTGAGACAGAATTTCAAGTAGAATTTTTTTTTTTTTGCCAGTCCTGGAGCTTGAACTGAGGGCCTTGGGTGCTGCTCAGCATTTTGTCCTCAAGGCTAGCATTCTACCACCTGAGCCACATTTCCATTTTCCACTTTTTGGTGGCTAATTGGAGATAAGAGTGTCGCTGTCTTGCCTGAGCTGGCTTTCAACTGTGATCCTCTTATGTCATTCTCCTGATTAGCTAGGATTATAGGTGTGAGCCACTGGTACCCTGTTCATTGTAGTTTTGATTTGCATTTCATGCTTAAGAATAATATGAACATGGGAGGGTTTTCTCTCTTCTAGTGTCTCTTTCAATTTCTTCAGTGTTTCATAATTTTTATTGCAGAGGGCTATTACTGCCTTTAAGTTTATTCCTAGGTATTTAATATTTTAGAGGCTACTATGAATGTGATTGTTTTTCCAGATTTTTATTAACATATTTGATATTGGCATGTAGAAAATCTATTGATTTTTGTATGTTATGCTTCCTTCTACTTTGCTCAAAGTGTTATCAGGTATTACTCTTTAAGAATAAGATCATATGTATTCAAATAGGAGATGATTTGACTTGTTCATTTTCTATTTTTGTCTCTTTTTATTTCTCTCATTGGCCTTGTAACTAGTTAAGATTTGATGCACTATACTGACTAAGGTGGGAAATAATGAAAACATCTGTCTCATTCCTGATTTTAGAGGAAATATTTATAGTCCTTCCCCACTGAGTATGAGGTTGGTTATAGGTTTGTTGTAAGTAGCCTTAATTATGTTGAAGTATGATTCTTCATTTCTAGTTTCTTCAAGGCTTTTATTGTGAAGGGATGCAGAATTATGTCATGATCATGTAATCTTTTTTTTGTTTTGTTTTTTGTTTTTGTCTGTCCTGGGGCTTGAACTCTGGGCTTGGGCACTGTCTCTCAGCTCTTCAGCTCAAGGCTAGCACTCTACCACTTGAGCCATAGCACCACTCTTGGTTTTCTGAGTGGTTTATTGGAGATAGAGTCTCATGGACTTTCCTGCTCCAGCTGGCTTTGAACCATGATCCTCAGATCTCAATCTCCAGAGTAGCTAGGATTACAGGCATGAGACACTGGCACCTGGCAAAATCTTTGTCTTTAATCCTATCATATGTTATGTTTGTTGATTTGCAATTTATTGAACCATTATTGCTTCCCTGCAATGAACCAGTTTGTTATGAGGTATCATTGTTTTTAGTGTTTTTTTTTGAATTTGGTTTGTATTTTATTGAGGATTTCTGTACCTATGTTCATCTTTTTTGTTGTATCCTTATTTATTTAGAATCAAGGTAACAATGGCATTTTAAGGATGACTTTGCATTTATTTCTAATCTATTTTAAGGAATAGTTTTAAGGGTGTTAATGTCTGTTCTTCTTTAAATTTTGGTCAAATTCAGCAGTGAATATATTCTGTCCTGGGCTCTTCTTTGTTGGGAGACATTTTAGAACTATTTCAATCTCATTGCTATCTATCCATCTATCTATCCATCTATCTATCTATCTATCTATCTATCTATCTATCTATCTACCTACCTACCTACCTATCTATCTATCTATCTATCTATCTATCTATCTATCTATCTATCTCTTCTTGGTCCAGTTTTGGTTGATCACAGGTAACTAGAAATGGAACCATTTCTTTTAGGTTTTCTGAAGTACTGGATTGCAAGTTTTCAAAATGTTTCCTAATGAGTCACTAAATCTTACTGTACCTTTGTGTTCTTCCTCTAAGAGTAGCCTCCTTTGAATATCTCATTTTAATCTTTTTTTATAATTTGGATTTTCTCTTTCTTTTGATTAGTTGAATTAAGGGTTTGTCAATCTTATTTATCTTTCCAAAGAACCTTGATTTTTTGCACTGTTCTTTTAGTCCCTATTTCATTAAATTCCACCTTGATCTTTATTATTACTTTTCATTTATGAATTTTGGGCTTGGCTTGTTCTTATTTTTCTTTTTTTTTGGGGGGGGGGTCCGGTCGTGGGGCCTGAACTCTGGGACTGAGCACTGTCCCTCAGCTCTTTAGCTCAAGGCTAGTGCTCTACCACTTGAGGCACAGCGCCACTTCCGGCTTTTTTCTTTTTGCTTATGTGGTGCTGAGGAATTTAACCCAGGGCTTCAAGCATGCAAGGCAAGCGCTCTACCACTGAGCCAACTTCCCAGCCCTTGTTCTTATTTTTCTAAGACCTTTAAGTGCAATTTTCAAATGTAGGCAATCAGAGCTGTAAACTTTTCTTTTGCCTTTGCTGTATCATCAAGGTTGTAGTAAGTTGTAGTTTAGTTTTCACTGATTCACAGGAAAACAAACAAAAAGTTGTGGAATGAAGAAACTAATGTAGAACTAGAAACAAAGAAGAGCTTCATTATGTTAACCTTTCACTGGAACATTTTCATTTATAATTGAGGGCAATGAATGGTAGGCAGGCAAAATAATTCACACAGAATGATGTAGATAGCAACTGTTATCCACAGGTTTAGAACTCACATCCCCTAACTCCTGAGTGTGAGCTATTTTTTTCTAACCTAATTTGAACAGTTCACTGAATAAAAAAAGAAAGATCTTGGGAGCTATTGTAATCAAAATAAAGAAACAGTTATTTTCATTTTGTTTTTACTACTGAGACATACCCTACTTATTTGGCTGGCAAATTAGAAAACCTACATTTGGAGCAGAATTAAACCTAGCTGATGAAAGCAAAATCAAGTAGAAGAATGATCAGTTAAATTTGCAGGGAGAAACTCAACTAATTCCTTTGCAGGATTATCCTTAGTATACAAACACATATAACTTCTCTAATGACTGTGGAGTAAAGACTTCCTTCCCCTACTACGAATATCTCAAAATCATGAAGTAGACAGACCCATTCTTGTACCCATGTTATTGGCACAATCAACATCAGAGGATCAGGGAGATCTAATAGAGATTTCTGGCATCTAAGTAGCTTGAGTTACTCAAAGGTGGGATTAAAAAGTATGATGCATTAAACACTGATTTGTGCTCTTTCCACACATCAGGATTTAAACTCTCAGGTTTTTTGTTAATTGACATCTCTAGTGCCTAGAAAATAACCTGGCAGAAACCATGAAGTGCTCTAGAAATTTGTGTTGCCAAATTAATCATGAATGAATAAACTGATGGAGACACTCATGAAATATTTTAGCAGCAGACACAAAGGAAACTAAAGGACATCTCACACAGGTGACTATCCTGCTTAATGCCTAATCTAATGTTTTGCATCCCTTAAATTCTATAATAAATGCTGCAGGAGAAATCCAGAATGTTTCCACAGAAGGTTTTGGACAATTTTCTATTTTGAAAGAAAATCTGAGAAGCTTTATGGTTTTTTTCTTGCTCATTTTTGCATTGCTGGAGATTGTACTCAGGACCTCACCCAGACGGGGTGCCACTGACCCATACCCAAGCCCGGAAAGATATATGGTCATCAATGCTTCTTCTACCTATTCTCACTTCAGGATTCCAAGGCACCAATAGCTGTGGTTAATGGAAGTTAATCAGAAATTAAGGTGGTGTTATTAAATGTTATTTGGTAAGGATGCTGGCTATTAAATTATTAGTAACTACTATCACCTAGTTTTGACATCAACTGATAGAAATATGCAAATTGAAATAAAAGTTATTTTTCTCATCACAAATGGTATTCTAGAGCCTATGGAGATAAGAAATAAAATGTATGTGAGACTAATTTTCCTCAGGGAACAGCAAGCAAGATAAAAGTCAAGCAAACATCTAACCATTTATCAGAGAGTGAGGTCATTCAGGGAGAATGTAAGATGCCTGTCACTTACAAAGGTTCTGAACCCTAACAATTACGGCAGCTGGGATGGGTCCTTAGCCAAAGGAACTTCATTTGAAAGTTGAAGACCAGACCATATGGTAGTCTAAGGCCAGCTTGCCACATGGCCAGTTATATTTGGGAGCTGAAGACTTTAATAAACCTGTTATTTGTCACCACTGATAATGTACAGCCTACCATAATACAGCAAATAGGCTGCCTTACTTTCAGAAGAGAAAAAAATTAAGATTGTTTACCTGTTGGTGGCATGGGGCAATATGGAATGGTGGGTGTGCTTCCTAAGATATTTGTCTCAGGCACTGGAGTTATATTCAGATTATGCATTTGGCTTGGATTTGGCCCATACCAAACTCCTGCAGCTGCTGCTCCTGGATCAAAAACTTGTGTTCCAATCCCAGGTAAATTATGTAACTCACTGTTCCAATATAGTTCCTGGGGTTGGCTGGTGAGCCCTGTCCATTGGTGTATGGCATTACCATGACTGGTTGCACTGAGATGAGCAAGACCTTTTACACCTGTGCTCGGCACATTCCCTGAAGATCTCTGATGTGCAAAAGGGTCATGGGAGACCCTTCGTTTCTTTTCCTCTTCTCTGTTACAAGGAACATTCTGTCTGGGTTGTAGTTTTGTCTGTTTGTCCATACGGTTGCCAAAGATATGATAGCTGGCCTCTTCCTGGAGTTTTCGCTGCAGGTTGGGCTCAGTGTCTTCTTGTGGGAGCTCTAGAGAAGAAGAGAACCAGGACTCCTCCACAGGACCCATCTCTAGTCCCTGAGAACTATGCAGTGAACCAGGCTGTTCTGTTACAGAGAGGAAATTACCAAGGTAAGTTTCACAAAACATTTAAAACAGCAGCATCACAAATCTGTCCTTTACAGTGAAATGCTAAGAAGGAAAAGGAAAGGAATAAGTCTCTTTAGTAACTGGACCTTGTCCTACAAGTTTTACAATCAGTAAGAGAGTCTGCTTGTAGTAAGGGAGCATGGGGAAATGATCCTGGGCCACAGAAGAGTGAGTGAGCAGAGGGATGAGTTGGGAGGAAAGGGACTTGGGTTGTTGTTCCAGTGCAACGAGGGTGGACCCACAAATAAGCAGCAGAGCGCTCCGCACGTGGCATAGTGCTTTCATTCTATAATGCCTTATGGGAGTGGGAGTCATCACCAGAACTTGATGGAGGATGCTTAAATGAGGTGAAGTGATTTACATCAGAGCAGAGAGAAGTGGCTTAGCTATCCTACACTCTGCCTTTCCCTTCTAATGAAAAGCGTCCCTGCTGGACTGTGAGACCAACCTCTCTGCTTACATAGATGTAGTCACCTATGACCTCAAGGACTTTGCTCTCACATATGTACCCTTCTTTCTGCTAAGCCATCACTTTCTCCCTGTCAGACACATTAGGCTTCTTGGTTTCAAGACACTTGATGACTGTGGTCACTGCAGCTATTTAATATTTCAAAGACATACAATGCGTGTCCAGAATATATCTTAAATTCCTTGATAGCAGAAGCTCATTTTTATAGTTCCTTCTGTGTCCATATGGGTCTGAATAGTACCTTAGAAATAGATTTTAATTGTAGGGTTAGTTACCTGAATTTGATCTGCTTGGTGGTAATGCAACAGAATCAATTTGGAGAGACTGCATTCTCTTCAAAAGTAAATTTTGGTCTGGATATTCTTTCTATAATTAAGAACACAAATACATACTTTAGTAAATAGGAGATAATATTGAGTCCTAGAAAATTATTGTAAGAATGGATCTTAGGCTGGGCACGGTAATCCACAGACCTGCAGTTCTAGCTACTGAGAAACTACTCTAGAAATTAGGAGGATCATGGATAGGGACCAGTCTAGGCAAAAACTTCTTGATACTCTTTTTTAGCACTAAGCTAGGTATAGTGGTTTACCAGCCAACAAGCTAGGTATAGTGGTTTACACTTGTAAATCCCAGCTATGTGGGAGACATGACTAGTAGGACAGCAGTTTGAGGACATTCTTAGGCAAAAAACAAAACAAGAGATTAGGCTTAATTAATCAATCAATCAGGCTTAACTGATCAATTTTACCAGCCTTTAAAAGCAACACTTGCCTTTTTGTGTCCTCTAGCAGGTGTTTTCATCTTTACTAATCTATCACTACTCAGTGTCACTACTTCATTTTCATTAGGTTAGTTTTGCTATCTTTAGATATGGTTGGCTAATTCAATTTTCACTACTTTTCAGCTCTTCTTTGAACTTCGCTTGCTCCCTCTCCCTCACTCCCCTTTTTTCCCACTTTCCCCTCTCCCTCCTTCTCCTCCTTCTCTTTCTCCTCTGCTTCTTCCTTTCTTTTTTCCTGAGCTTGAACTCAGTCTATGTGCTATCTCTGATATTTTTCTTTTTTCTTTTTTTGTCTTTTTTCCTCATGGCTAGCACTCTACCACTTAAGCTACAGCTCCATGTCCAAGTTTTTGGTGGTTAATTGGAGATAAGAGTCTCAAAAACATTCCTGTCCAGGCTGGCTTCAAACCAAAATCATCAGATCTCAGCCTCCTAAGTAGCTACAATTTACAGGTGCGACCCACTGGCACCTGGTAGCCTTTCCTTTTTCCTGGTACATGTATCTGAGACTAAAATACTAAGTACGCTAATAAAGTGCACTTTATAATTTTTAATATATAGTGTTTTGGGTTTTGTTTTGTTTTTGCTTGTAGGTCTTAGAACTCCAGACATGTGCACTGTCCCTAAGCTCTTTTTGATCAAAGGTATTCCTCTACCACTTTGAGTCACAGCACCACCTCCAGTTTTCTGGTAGTTAACTGGAGATGAGAGTCTCATACTTTCCTGACAGGGCTGGCTTTGAACCATGAGCCTCGATCTTAGCCTCCTGTAGCTAGGATTACAGGCATGAGCCACCAGTGTCCAGCTTAATATTTAATGTTTTTGTTAGCTTTCAAATAAAAGTATTTTCTTTGTTTTGTTTTTTTTTTGGGTCCGGTCGTGGGGCCTGAACTCTGGGCCTGGGCACTGTCCCTCAGCTCTGCAGCTCAAGGCTAGTGCTCTACCACTTGAGCCACAGCGCCACTTCCGGCTTTTTTCTTATGTGGTGCTGAGGAATCGAACCCAGGGCCTTGAGCATGCAAAGCAAGCGCTCTACCACTGAGCCACCTTCCCAGCCCAAATAAAAGTATTTTCTAAGGCTGGGCATGGCAACTCATGCCTAAAATCCATGCTACTCATGAGGTAGAGATCAGAATTACAGTTTTCATCTCAACCAATGAACAAAGCCTGGGGCATATGTTTGTCATCCTGGCTATATGGGAAGCATGAACAGGATTGTGTTGTGGTACAGGCTAACTTTGGTAAAGATGTGACACATCTAGAGAGCATGAACGAAATTACTACTCCCATCTGTCTATTGCTCCTTTAGTACTTCTTACTCAAAGTTAGCTTAACATTTTTCTGCTGTATATCAGAAAATACAATTCTGTCTTCTGATTTTTCACTCAGTGCTAGGAATCAAACCTAAGGCTTCATACATGCTACTACCCACAGCCTGTTTAAGAATTTCTTAAAATGGCTGGACTCTGGTGGCTCATACCTGTAATACTAATAACTTGGGAGGCTGAGATTTAAGAACTGTGGTTCAAAGCCAGCCTGGTTAGGCAAATCCAGTAGACTCTTATCTCCAATAAGTCAGCAAAAAACCAGAACTTGAGGTATGGCTCAGGACTATGGGAAGCCCTAGAATAGGTGTCTGCGCACGTGCGCGTGCACGCGCACACCCACACAATACTTCAAAATAGCAAATTCACTTATAGTACTTTCCATTTTTTTTTTTTTCAGTAACTTTGTGTTTTGGCTTTACATGGACATATATATTTTTTCATTTCCTGTATTTTGATAGTGAAACAAGCTGAGTTTGTAAATATGACAGTACTTGAATATAACTGCTGAATTGGTTTTATGTGTTCACCAAGCTTTTTAACTTCAAATCTTAGCAACAATTTACACTGCTTTGTTTTTTCCAATTGATTATACATGCTTTGATATATTGATTTTTGAGCATATTACTTACCTTTAAACTTTCTACATCTGCTTCTATGTTTCCTTTCAACTGACAGTCATACAAAGGTCTAAATATTTCTTCAATACCTATGTGAGAAAATTGTCCTTTAAATTTCATATTTTGAAGACAGATAAAAAATATTTTCTTTGAATTACTTATCTTAACCTGTGATAAAAGCATTAAAATAAAGTCTTAAGCTCCAAATTATCGTTTCATCTGAAACACTAGGAAGAAAGAACAAGAGCCAGAGCATCAATAGAAGTTGAACCTCTGACCTAACAGTGTACGCTTGGCTCTTTCTAGGTTTAGCAAAGCTTTAGCAATGCAAGATGGGCAAACTCCAAGTTTCTGTCCATCTGGCATCAAGTTTATGAGAGGGTTGGATACTCAGAATAAGAACTGAGGGAAAGGTTTCATTTGCTACTTTAAAAGGAATATAAGACTTCAAAAAGATGGAGCAGATGTACTTTGCTTCTTCTTCTTGCTAAGGACAAATCCCTATATATCCATATACATATATACATATCTATATATCTATATATATATCAAACAAACCTATAGATGTTTTGTAAGCAGGAGAAAAGAAAGCAGATTAGTTGAGGCCTGAGGGTCTGAGTAAACACCAAATAGTGAGTTCCTATATTTCTTCTTTCTCTCCTAAATCCCAGAGCTGCAGCTGAAAAGCTAGAAATGCTCAAACACCCAGAGGCACAGACAACAATACAGCCTCTTCTTTCTAGCCACAGGACTAAGTTAGGGGCAGCCTACTAACGTAGAAATCCTTTGATCCATAGTGTCTGTATTCTAGCGTGAAGCAAACTGTGACTCTTCCCCAGCTCACATCAGCTCTGACCAGTGAACATCTTGGACCTTCCCCTCAGGAGAGTCAATTAACCCCCACCAGGCTGCTGTCAGAGACTGCCAAACAGGAAGCCTGAACCTTTCAGCCTAATGGCTGGGAGTGAGTCACTCCACACCCATGGGGTCAGTAGGCCACAACAGCAGCCTGGCACTTGTTCCCATATGACAGTAATAGGATACTTTTTTTCTGTTCTCCACAAAGGAAATGTTGGAAGAAGCCTCATGGAGATCTGGATGTCCTCTGCCATCTGGTAGGCCTGAGGGACCTCCATCTTTGGTATCAATGAGGATAACCAGAAAACCTGGATTTCTACCTCTACATGGCATTTGTAAGGTAATAACCACTATTCCTCCTGCCAGGCCAGGGTAAAACAAGTTCAGCTAAAACAGAGGAATAAGGAAGTTCAGACTCGCACCATGTAGGAAGGAAAAGTCTAAGGTACAATGGACCAGAAAGATGCTTAACTGCATGAATAAAGGCAAAAGATAACAACACTGAGACTACAGAGATGTTGGTTTTATTGCCCCCCAAATGGCAAAGTAGACACAATAAAAATGTTTACAAAGAAATTACAAACTTGCTTAAAATACATGGAAGAATGGAAAGCCTTAGCAAAGAAGGAGGATGGGTCTAAATACAGTAGTAGAGTGTATGCTCACCATGCTCAAAGCCTGGGTTCATGCCCATCAATAACAAAATCAACAAAATTCACCAAAATATATCAATTTTAAGTATGAAGAATACAATATCGAGAACAAGAAACTCAGCATATAGCACATGAGCCTAAAAGCCAAATGGAGGAAGAAAAAATAATCAGTGAAATGTAATAGAGAATGCCAGACTGCCTGATCCAAATGAGATGGAGAAAGTTAACTGAGAAAAAAACGTAGAGCCTCAGAAATCTGTAGGATATAACATAAGATTTAGCATTTATGCCATCCTAGTTCCAGGAGGGCATAAGAAATAATATAACTGAAAAGCTAAAGCTTTTCATGGCTAAAGATTCTGAAACATGATATGATACATACATCTACACATTCAAGAAACTAAACAAAACCCAAGCCAAATAAATGCCAAAAAATATCCACACCAAGGCAAAGAATAAGTAAATCTCTACAAAACAAGAAAAAGAAAACCCAAAACATGAAAAGTAATTCCAAGGGAAAGTATCGTGTATGGGAGAGAAAGCACACATGATTACGACAGATAAAATTTGAAGCCATGGTGGCTAAAATAAAGTACCTCAATATTTACCTAGTGCTGAAAAAATTAGTATTAGTATTATGCTCATCTTTGGTCCTCAGTTCCACCCACACCTGGGTCCCCTCCCATTCCTGGAGTTCCGGCCATATAGCTGGCCCCTCCCTCTCTTCCCCCAGACCCACCTGAACTCCTATCTACCTTACTTCCTATCTCTCAGACACTCCTGCTACCTGGATAGGGATGGAGGCCCTGTGCTCCCTCTTGGGGGAAATATGGCTCTTCTAATAAACCTTATAATAATCTTCTCCTGTGCCTGCTTGCCTGTCTCTGCATGGTCCCCTGGCATGGATGTGTGGGATCCTTCAAATAGAACTGTCAATTCAGAATCCTAAACTCAGTAAAACTGTCCTTCTAAAATATCTGGAAAATCAAGACATTCTCAGAGGAAAAGTAAAAGCATTAATTACTCTAGAAGAATGGCTAAAATATCCAATTATAAAAGAAGACACCTTGGAAACTCAGGAAGGAAGAATACATGTAGTAGATTCTTTTTTTTTTTTGGTCCGGTCGTGGGGCCTGAACTCTGGGCCTAGGCGCTGTCCCTCAGCTCTTCAGCTCAAGGCTAGTGCTCTACCACTTGAGCCACAGTGACACTTGTGGCTTTTTTTTTTTCCTGCTTATGTGGTGCTGAGGAATTTAACCCAGGGCCTCAAGCATGCAAGGCAAGCGCTCTACCACTGAGCCACCTTCCCAGCCTCACAAGTAGTAGATTCTGTAAGCATTATGCCCACCTTTGGTCCTCAGCTCCACTCAGACCTGACCCCCTCCCTGCCCTGAAGTTCTTACCATACAGCTGGCCCCTCTCTCCACCCAGACCCACCAGAACTCCCATCTACCTCACTTCCTAACCCCCAGACCCTGCTGGGGAGGATGCCATGTGCTCTCTCTATGGGGGAAATATGTCTCCTCTAATAAACCTTGTAATAATCTTTCTCCTGTGCCTTCTTGCCTCTGCGTGGTCCCCTGGCATGGATGTGATGGATCCTTTCATTAATCCTTTCAGATTACAAATAAATACTTAGCCTGTGTCCCTGATTTAATTCTTGATAGCTCCTGAATAAGTGTGTCTTTGGGGCAGTGGCTAGAAGAATAGACAGTTTCATAACAGACTGGTCCCCAGAGACAAAGCCACATTACAGAGCTAAAACCCTTGGGTACCCTCCTTATAACTCCAAAATGATCATTGATTTAATCAATCATGCTGACATAATACAACCTCTATAAGAAGTCATACATTTTTTGGATTGGTATCACAGAGGGACTGAGAAGGTGATGGGTCTAATGAAGCTCTACAGATGTCACCCCTCACCCATACTTTGCTTTATTTATGCATCTTTTCTATCTGGCTCATTCTTATATTAATATAATACAAAAATAAACATAATAAATATTTTCCTAAATCCTGTGAGTGCTTTTTTAAAAAATTTTTATTGTAAAGATACTATACAGAGGGTTACACTTCCTATTGAGCATTGTTACCCCCTCCATTGTTTTCCCCCTACTATCCCTTCCCTCCCTACCTTCCCCGAGGTTCTTTTTTTTTTAATTGTGGTTAAGTGATTACATAATTTCCCAAATTCTGTGAGTGCTTTTTAAAAATTGTTTTTCTCTTATGCATGCCAGAACATGAAAAGAATTTACTAAATTTTCTGCTCCTACCTCACCACGGGCATAAAAGGAATGGGACTAACCAGCCATAGACTGAAATTAAGACAAAACTCCTTTTTCTCTTTGTAAGTTGATTATTTCATACATTTTATTACAGCAATGGAAAGTTTACTAATATAAAACATCTATGAAAGCATATGTAAAAGACAGTAAGCACAAACAGAAAGCAAACTAAAGTGGTAGACTTAGGTACTAATATACCAATAAGTAAATTAAATGCAAATGGTCTAAATACACCAAACAAAAAACAGGATTGGCAGAAGAGATTTAGAAAACATGACCCAAATGTTTGTTGTCATAAAAAACTCACTTCACACAAAATGCCTCAGGGAACTTAAACATAGAACAATAGAAAAAGATATATTAATCAAGGGAAAAGCAGAGCAGTTTGATTAATCTTGAATAACATCTTGAACTAGAGCATAAAGATAGTGCAGACAGACAGGGATACTTACATAATGACAAAAGGATCAGTCCACCAAGATGATATAAAAATTCTAAATGTGGATGCACCAACCAAGAGACAGAATTAAAAACAGAAAGATAACTTTACAATTATATGTGGAACATGAACATCCTTCTCTCTATAACTGAATGAACAGCTAGACAATAAGTCAGCAAAGACATAGAAGGATAAAACAACCAACTGGATTTAATCAAATTTAGTAGACATTTAACCAACATGAAGAGAAGACCCAAATATTACTCTCATGTGTCTACAGAACTTATGCCAAAACAGTCAAGACCTTGGCCATAAGGCAACCCTAACCAAATTGAAGCACATAGAACATATCTTTTCACCACAATAGAATCAAGCCCAGTAAAATGACAGGAAAATCTCCAAATAATTGGAAACATAACGTTACACTTCTAATAATACAGGAGTCAAAAAAAGTCACACAGGATATTAAAAATATTAAAAAATGTATTAAAAAAACAACATGTAAAAAAAAATTGTGAGACATGTCGGGTGCTGGAGGCCTGTAATCCTAGCAACTCAGGAGGCTGAGATCTGAGGATCGTGGTTCAAAGCCAGCCCAGGAAGCAAAGTCAGTGAGACTCATATCTCCAATAAACCACCAGAAAACCGGAAGTGGCGCTGTGGCTCAGGTGGTAGAGTGCTAGCTTTGAGCGAAAGAGCTGAGGGACAAAGCCCAGGCCCAGAGTTCAAGACCCATGAATGACCTACCCCCCACATCCCCCCAAAAATTGTGAGACACAACTAAAGCAGGTCTGAGAGGGAAATTTATTGCAACAAATTATTAGAAAAGACATGTCTCAAATCAATATTACAAGTACCTACCTTAAACCTAGAAAATAAAGCCCAAAACAATCACAAAACAAGTAGAAGTAATAAAGAGCAGAAAAATGATAGACAAAAATAATCAAAATATAGCTCTTTGAGAACATTAATAAAATCCATATTGCAAGACTGAAAAGGTAAAAGTGCAGATACAAATTGTGAAAATTTGAAGTGAAGGTCCATATTCCTCTAGACTCTAAATATGAAAATATGAGGATATTAAAATCAACTTTATATACATAAACTTGACAACATAGATGAAATGGACCATTTGCTCAAAAAATGCTAACTTATCACAACTACCCCAATGAGAAACTGATCATCTTGGGCTGGCTGTGAGGCACATGATGGTAATCTTAGCTATGTGGAAGGCATTGGTAGGATTGTGATCTGATCCCATTTGAAGGAATCAAGCATAAGACCATATCTAAAAACTTAACTAGAACACAAAAGAGCTTGGGAGTGTCTGGAGTGGTAAAATGCCTATCTGGCAAGCACAAAGCCCTAAGTTCAAACCAAAGTACTGTCACTAAGATAAAGAAAAAAGAAAGAAAAGTAAAATACAGATCCTCTCAACTCATAATGATTTTGTATTAATGATTAAAACCTTGTCCCTCTCCCAAATCTCCAGGTCCATGAATCACAGGAGAATTAAAGTAACCTTTTCAAGAATTAATACCATTCTACACATTGATGTATAACATTATCTAGATCATAAAGTTACTGAGAACCTTTCTCAGCAAATAATCTAGGTGTGGTATTACTAGCAAACATTCACACTTGCAATGACATTATCTAGATTGTATATTAAGTTATTTACATCAACTGATGTTACCTAATACTAACATCAACTTAACTACTTGGCATGAAAATTTTTTGAAAAAAAGAATCTTAAAACATCTAGAATAAAGGGGATTAGAAAGACTGCTGACCAGTTTCCACACTCAGCACACTGCTCTATTAATCAAGACTCTGGGGACTGGTAGAGTGATGTATGTATAGATGAAAAGAAGAGAACAGAGAATCTAGAAACAGACTTGCCAGTGGCTCAGGTTTGTAATCACAGCTACAAGCAGGGTAGATATGAGATCTGAGAACTGCAGTTCAGGCAGAAAAACAGCCAGCGTAGGCAGAGAAGTCTATGAGACTCCAATTAATCAGCAGCTGGATTAGAGTAGTAGAATACCATTGTGAATGAAAAAGCCATGTGAGAGAATAGGCCCTGAGTTCAAGGCCTAGTACTAGTTCCCCATCCAAAAAGAAAGAAAGAAAGAAAAGAAATTGACCTGCAAAAACATTCTACACTTAACCAAGAGAAAAGCAATTCAATGAAGAAAAGACTTCCAACAAATGGTGCTGGAGCAATTGGAAATTCATAGGCCAAAAAAAGAAAGAAAGAAAGAAAAAAGAGAAAAAACAAAAAGCATGCTGACCTAAAATGTCTTAACTTTATATACAAAGTTAATGTAGAATGGATCATGGTATTTTTTTCCAATATGATATAAATCCCATAACTGGTGAGAAATATAAACACTATTTCTATGCCATTTGTTTTCTGTTAGCATGTCTTTCAAATTGACTTAACATTGATTGTTAAATGCTTAACATGGCTTAAATATAAAACTCTAAGAATTTTAAAATGAAACATAGAAGACAATCTTTGGACTCTAATCTGACAGTGTTCCGTGACTTAATACAAAAGCAAAATCTGGGAAAGGAAGTATTAAACTAGATTTCATCAAAATGAGAACTTTTGACTCAATAAACAATCTTACTAGGATAAAAAACAATCTATAGATAGGAAGAAAACATTTGTAAACCAGAGAGCTGAGAAAGAAGTAATATATAAAATGTATTAAAAGATTCAAGACAAGCCATTAATAGCCAAGTGTGGTAGCTCAAGCCTGACTACCACGTACAAGGCAGAGATCCTACCTATTTGGGATGCAATGCTATATTCCTCACAGTATGGCTAAAATAAAAATACTGAAACCAACAAGTGCTAAGAAAGATAGAGAACCTGGTACACATTGCTGGTAGGAATACAAGTATAGCCACTGTGGAAAACAGTATGGCAGGTTCTTATAAAACTATACACCTCAGCTACTTCATTCTTGGGTATTTGTTCCAGACAAAGAAAAATTTACATTTACACAAAAAACATGAACATAAAAATGTACATCAGCTTGGGTACCAACAGTCAAAAGCAGGCAACAAATGTTCCAAGGAGTAAGCAGTTAAACGACTTGCAGTACATGCACACCACGGAATAGTTGGGACTTGAAGAGGAATGATGTATATCAATCCGTGCAATGACCTGATGACTCACTGGAATGGAACACAGTTGAGCCATATTCATTTAACATTATTGTTGAAATGAAAAACATTCAAGAATGGAGAATGGGTTAGTGGGTGTCAGAGGTGGAGGGAGTAGGGCAGGAAGGAAAAAAGTAGGTTTAAAGCTACAAGGGATCTGTCTGTGGGATGGGAATGTCCTATACCTGACTGCACCAACATCAGGACACTGGTTGTGGTAGTGAATCTAGTTCTGCAAGCGGTTACCACTGTGGGGAAGTGAGTTAGTGTGTATGATACCTCTTCTCACTATTCCCTGTGAGTGCAAATGAATTACCATCACTTCAATACCTCATTTTAGACAGTGAAAAGGCATGAGAATAGACAAAACCAAGACACAACCCAAAGGCTGATAGATAAGTGGACAGCTAAACCAAAGCACCCCTTGACATTTTTAGTGGTAGGAGTGGATGGGGCCTTTTTTTCTCTCACAGCAATAGGACAACAAAATGCTTTGCAGCTTTCTTAGTTCCTTCCCAGTATATCTGTTTTACTGATTCTTTCTTTGCCCTCCTCCTAGGTAATCCAGGGGGATGGGAAGAGGTGGAAGGACATGGACAATATCCTTGCCTCCTTTCTTCTCTCTACTACAAGGCCAACTGAAATGACAAAATACATTTCTAAAGATGACAGAGAAACAAGAGTATGGGAAGGAAAAGATGAGAAGTTAGGAAATAGGAAAGCCAGCTGAGACCTTAAGTGTCTGTCAACAAATGGATAAAGAAAATGGGGTACATACTAAAATGGAGTATTATTCAGTTACAAATAGGAAATTCTGATACAGGCTACAACAGGGAGGAACCTTGAGCACTGTATGCAAAGGACAAACACCGTATTATTCTTTGTATACAAGGTGCTACAGCACTCAGACAGGAAGTAGAATATGGTTGCCAAGGTTGCAAGGGGAATGTGGAGTTATTGCTTTCGTGGTAGCTTCCATTTGGAGTGAAAAAGTACTGGAAATGGATGGTTGGTGAAGGATGTACAAGAATGGAATGGGCTTACTTCAGCAGGACTATATGCTTAAACTTAGCTATGATGTTCAATTTTATGTTATGTGCATTTCATTTTATTTTGTTGTGTAGAGTTTAACACAATAAAATATGTGAACTCAGAAACAGGGAAAAGAGATGAAAGCCCCTACATATCTTTGTGCTTTGAGAGGACTGACACCTTTTCATTGAACAAAGTGCTTGATATCTAGAAACCAGTGAAGTAAAGTAGAACTCACAAGGAAAGTAAAGCTTGGTTTTCTGAAGTCTCAAACCAAGCTCCTGACTGGGGGCATCTTACATAGGAACAGCACCATGTATCTCACATAGTCACAAAGATATTCTCACCAGGAAATGTTGGCCGCCCTTCTGGGTCTGCCTTCCAGCAGAGCTCCATAAGGCTCATGATCTCCTTGGGGCAGTACTCAATGATGTCATCCACATCTGGCCTGTTCCCAAATTTTATACATGTTAACAGCTGCTCTGCACAGATGGCATCTAGAAAGCAAAGAGAAGCATAAGCTGAGGCTTTTAGGTCCACTTTTCTCTTAAGCAGGAATACAGAATGTAAGCAGTATGTTCATTTGTCTCTGCCCAGGGTGTGCTAGGAATGGCCTGTGCCAAGGAGCTGCCCAGTCCACTGTACAGATGGTCAAAAGCATCTTAATTTCTGTAGAAGAAAGATAAATTCCAGAACAAAACTGTTTCCTCATAAAAGAGCTGCATTTTCTGGGTAAAACAAATAGTATTATGTGATCTTAGTCAATGGAAAATGCAGGAAGTCCTTCCTTATATAAAGCTCTGTTTAATGAGAGTGACTTAAAATATAGTACATGTGATAGTCTTCTACAATTAAGCACAAAGGGTTCTGATAGCACAATCTTGTCTGGAATAGAAGGTCTAAGAAGACTTCCTTTCTTTTTTTTAAGTAACCATAATTTAACAGTGGTACCATAGAAAACCTATGTAGGCAACAAGCAAAGTATTACTGCCATAGCAGTTCAGTTGGACATAGATCTTCCATATACAATCGTCAATCCCTTTGAAGTAACTGAGATTGTATAGTATGTGTCATGCTTTTCCAAATGTTATGAATCTACAAATTCAAAATGAGAAGATTTTCTTGAGTCCAAAAAAAAAAATAAACACGCATTTTCTAGGGAAGGAACAAAGAAGGAATTCTCAGACAGGGGGATTCCACACAAAGAAAGCAGGAAAGCAACAGATCAGAAATGAGGCAGGAGAGAGATGCAATGGTCAGCTCAGAAAGGGCCTCAAACCTTGTACCAAGAAATCTGAACTGTATTGTAAAGGATGTGGGGACTCTTGGAAAAAGTTTAAATAGATGAGTTAAGTTGGGCTCAGTGGCTCAAGCCTGTAATTCTAGCTACTTGGAAGGTGGAGAGCAGGGGATCACAGTTTGGCCCACACAAAAGGTTCACCAGATTGCATCTGAGCCAACACTGAACACAGTGGCACATGCCTGTTTTTCCAGCCACAGGAGAAGCACAGTGGCAGGTTGCAATGATGAATGCCTGTCATCCTCCCCAGTGTGGGAAGCACAAGTAAGAAGATGGCAGCCTGCTCAGGCATAAAGCAAGACCCTTCAGCAAAAATACAATGCAACTTGTTAGAGGGGACAGTGAGGGTGAATAAACACACTAGTGATACTCACTAAACACTATGTTGAAAATGAAATAAACAATCTGTGGGGGGGCAGGAGGGACAAACTGGGAGCTAACAAGAAAAAGGTGACACTGTTATATGACTTATATCACTGTAATCCCTCTGTATATCACCTTTACAATAACAATAACAAATAAAAACAGAAATAAACAGTGAAACTTCTGGGTGCCAACATGAGGGAAAACCTGGGAGAGAATGAGGAAAGGGGTGACATTATCCAAAAAGAAATGTACTCATTACCTGACTTATGTAACTGTAACTCCTCTACATCACATTTATAATAGCAATTAAAAATATGAAAAAATAAAGTCTCTGTCTGTGTCTCTGTCTGTCTGTCTGTCTCTCTTTCACACACACACACACACACACACACACACACACACACACACACACACAAACACAAACACACACACACACGGGGTCTTATTTGCTTTCAGGATGGAGGTATGCATGTGGAGCCTGCAGCAGAAACAAGGGGTCAGAGCTAGTGGGGACAGAGAGAAGTAGGTAGATCAGGATTCTAGATATAGTCATAGTTGAATTTACAGTGTCTTGGGACTTACTGCATGTGGGTGAGGAGGACAAGGTTGAGTATGAAATGATGCTATGCTTGTGGGTAGGAACACAATGAGAAAAACAAAGCTGGAGGTACTACTAAGTAAGCATCACATGCTTAGAAACTTGTTTGGGGGAATGTAAGTTATGGATATAAGTAATGGATTAAACAGGCAAGTGTCTATCGAAGCCCGGGGTAGAGATTGAACAGGTATCAATAAGAGATGGTCCTGAAACCTCAGCATCCACAGCACTGGATAATCATGCAGAAAGAAAGGGTATGAGAACATCCATTCATTCACACACTTCACAAACTGAAGGACTACTTATGTATCTATTTTCCTCTTAAACTATGCTGACTGAATTGCCACACTGGTACTGGAAAAAGTTAATTCTGGAATAAAGGAGTCAGTGAATGAATGAAAGTATGTACTATGTTCTTTTGGTATAAAATTCCTCATAAGCAGAATCAAGTAGTCTCTACCCAGGAAAAATCTTGACACTTCCCAGCACTTCCCAAACTCAGCCACATTATGAAAGTTCCTATTCACCTAATCATCTCTCATTCCTAACTTGAGATCACTCATTCAAACTGAGCACCTCCTGTGTTTCAGGCACTGTGTGTGTGGCTGCTAAGGAAATGACAGTGAATAAATCAGATGTGGGAGTCGCCCAAAGAAACCACAGACTGCCAAGAAAGGAACCAACAATTCTAAATCTTCAACAATTTCACTGAAGGCCATTATTTCATGCAACAGTTTTGATTAATATCAAAGTACATCCTGTACATGTGTCTTACTTTCATATGGCTCTTTATTTGCAAATATTGCCCAAAGAACGATGCCAAAGCTGTACACATCTGACTTCTCCGTGGGCTTTGTGTTGATGTCATTCAGGTGCTCAGGGGCCATGTAGTAGAGGGTGCCACCATTTTTCACTTCCCTCTGTTCATTGTGTTCCTCTCTAGTCAACCTGCTCCAGGTCTTAAAGGAAGCAACACCGAGATCAGCTATCTGTAAGAGAAGTTGAGCCACTGCGGTTATTGTGTGAAGGTGACCAGCAAATTGGACTTTACTTTCAAGATGTGAGTATGAGGTAAGTGGTTGCACTGGGCAGATGTAAAACAGCTTCCTCTGAACAGACTCATAGAAGTTAGTAGTATCTGCTCACATATCTGGAACATCTCACCCCAAGAAATATCCATCTGAAATTCTGTTATCTCTATTTATAGGCAATGAGAGGCAAACAGAACATAATTCTAATTTGTTTTCTGTTTCTCAGGCTAGGCAAAAATGTGATTTTCTTCTCGGTGTATGTAGGGAACAGATGGAGATTGGGTACCACACCTTCTATTCCCATATAGGATCCAGAGGCCTTGGATGTGAGTTTCCAAAAGATCCCAGAGACACTGTGGAGGGTAACAACTATGGTCTGCTTGTTTGGATTGGAGTTGGTAGCCTGAACCTAAGAAGATAGGACAGGGAAGAAGAAACCAAATGGACAGAAAAGCAGAAAATCATCAAGTTCAGACACAGAAAAGAAAAAGTATGGAACAAAATCCAGAACAGGACAGTTAAAGGAGTATCACACATGCCAGGTCCACTTTTATTTCCAAAAGTCCAAGCAGGAATTTGGGGACAAGTTATACTAGGAATATCTAAAGTGCTGATTTTAACCCAGAATAAGAGATGTCATTAATTAGTAGAAGGAACCTTCTTTCAAGGCTCTGAAATAAAAATTTTTCCAAGACTCAACGTCAGAAGTAGAATCCTCCAGGCAGATGCTGAGGTCCTTGACCAGACACTTTCTTTTTCAGGTTCTTTTTTTTTTGTTTTGGTGTGATTTTGGAGATGGAATTCAGGGCTCTACCAGTGATTTACACTCCTTGACTCTTCTAGAATTTAAGCTGCCCAAATCAGTTGGATGTGCTGCTTGCTTATCATAGTTAATGTAGAACTTAAATGGACAAAGCAAGATCCCTTTCCTTCTTCCCATATTCTATAATGGAAGCAATTTTCAAAAGGAAATAGATATTTTCCAGTGCAGATGGAAGAAAACAAATAATTTAAATTAGCTGTTCGTATAGCAAAGGTCTTTGTTTTGAAGTGGCAGAGTGAATTCAGGACCTCCCATGCACTAGGCAAGTGCTCATTAAACCAGAGGGTTTTGATCCCCAAGCAGTCAATTAACTTGACTCTCTCAGGCTGAGTTCTGAGGATTTTCACAACCATAGTCCACAATCTCTTGAATTCCAGAGAGGAGTCTTAGTCTCACAAATCTGGGAAGATTGACAAGGCACACAGTCCACTCCAGGGTGAACAAGGGCAACCTTCAAAGCCTGATGGAGATGGAAACAAAATCTAGCATAGAGGTTTTCTGACTTACCCCATTCATTTCTAATCCTCCCTTAAAGATCTGACAGTTACCTCCTTGGTAATCTCCCAATTCTACAGGGCCTTGAAGCTAGGTCTTCTTTTATCATCTAGGAGAATGGATTCATAGTGGGAAGTTGGAACTGGAATTATTCAGCCTTCTAGAAGTCTGTAGACCAATGCTTTACCTTAATGTGAAAGTCACAGTCAACAAGGATATTTTCAGGCTTCAGATCTTTGTGTATCACACCTTTTCCATGTAAGTAGCTCATTCCTTCAATGGTCTCCATAATTATCCTTCCTTTTAGAGAAAGTGGGATACGGACCTGAAACAAGTGACAGTAAGTCTATAAAGCAAACAAGGCAAGTATTCTATGGAAGACTGGTGGATGTAAGTGTGAGGATAGCTTCCAGGTCTCCTCCCTGGAGAGGCCTGGCAGTGCTGCTGTCATGATTCACCAATAGTCCCATTTCAGGGGCTGAAGGGCATTTAGTGCTATATTTTGTCTGTTCAAAACCAAAAAGTCTATTCCAACTGTGTAGCAACTATAAAATACTATAAAATTAAGCTCCTTGCAAACAAAGACATACCATTATTACTCTTATTAGTATAATTTTGGATAGCACTTTTTTTTTTTCCTGTTGTGGACTTGAACTCTGGGCACTATCCCTTAGCTCTTCAGTGCAAGGCGAGCGCTGTACCACTTGAGCTACAGCGCCACTTCCAGTTTTCTGGTGGTTTATTGGAGATAAGAGTTTCACAGACTTTCCTGCCTGGGCTGGCTTTGAACTGTGATCCTCAGATTTCAGCCTCCTCAGTAGCATGAGCCACCGGTGCCTGGCCTTGGATAGCACTTTTATTACCAGAATGGTGTCTGAACAAATATACATCATTATGGCACATTCATTATAATAATGATATGGCTACTTGCATTAAATGTGAGAATAATATCAGGGAAAAGTACATGTGAAATAATGTTAAGAGAAAAAAATGAAAGAAACAAAATCACACAGATTATAAATGAAAAAATCCATGCTACATGCATAATTTGAAAGCATGACGAAGTGAATTAATATCTTTGGTGATGTGTTATCAGACAGTTTAGGTCACCATAAATGGTAGTATAAATAATTCCGATTTCTATTAGTGCTCAAATTGTAGCTTTTCTTTAAACTGAGAAACTAGTTTAAACATAAAATTTTTCCTAAAATATTTATATGTACCTAACAGGAAAAAAATAGTGAAAGTTAGATTCCCAAGCTTATCTCTGAAGCCCTATTTAACTCATAATATAGATGAACTACAGAATCTATATAACCATCACTATGTAAAAAAACAGCAGAAGACTGAGTGCCTATAGCTAGCTATTTGGAAAGCTGGGGCAAGAGGATTACTTGTGCTTTCAAGTTTGCAATCAGCATGGGGAACCAGCATAGCAAGTCCTCATTTTGAATAACAAACAAATATCTTTTAAATGGCAGAAGAGGTTTTTTTCCCCCTGTTTTTCTTAGTACACTTTCAGATTTGGGAAAAAATTCAAAAGTCAAAATGTCCCTCTCCCATCTCTTTTCCTGCTTTTCTCTTGGGTCCTACTCACTTGTGCTACTGCAATCTGGCTGACATTTTTTCATGAGCTCCACATAGTGTACTCTATCTGGTCTGATTCTGAATGATTTCTCTCTCAATCAAGATTTTCATTTTTTTCATGCAGCTAATCTTGTCTGGCTTAGGAGAGAAGAACAATCTGAAAATTATAATACAATGTGATCCTCTTTTGTCATTTCCATAGGGGTTTTTTGAGGTTTCCAGTGAGACCTAGGGACCTAGCTACTGTGAGTTGGAAGAAGCAGATAGAAAAAGGGAAATATTGGCCATAAATTATGGCAGCCATATCCTGCATTTCTCACATGTAATCTATGCCCTACCCAAACCCATCGACTTGTATTTCTGCAAAGCATGGCATTGTTCCTGCCTGAAACATGCATTCAACAGTTGTCTGCTTCAAAGCTTCTACTTGTCTTTCAGACAGGAAGCCTTTTCTATCCATCCCTGGTTGGGGTGGGCCTCTCTTCTCTATTCTACAGCAGACTATGGGTTTGTCTAACAAAACCCTTGACAGTATTTCTTCATGTACTTATCTGCCTGCTTTTATTAGCCTGCATCATATTGGCTAAGGCTTTTCTGACTATTGTCTATTCTTGTTGGGGCTTATGTTCTCTATTTAACTTATAATAGGTTTTAAAAAAAATATATAGTACACATGCTTCCTATCAACCAATGATTGTCACAGCCAGGAACAGGGCTCCCACCAATAGCGTTACAACCATCAATACTTTACATGCTTCTGTTAGTCAACAGCTTTCAGTCATGTATAGTGACCATGCTTCCATCAATCAACAGCTGTCATAGTCAGATATGCATGCTTCAATCAGTCATCCCCTACTTATTAGTCACACATATATTCCATAGCATTTCATATGCTTCAGAAGACAGGCCTACCTCTGAACTGTGGATCATAAAGAGGCTGCAAGGTATGTTAAAAAGCCAACCTCAATACCAAGACACAGAAATTAGCTTAGGAATGGTGGCATAGCCAACTTTCAGGGGCACTGAGAGGAGGGAGAGATAGGCCCCAGGACAGGGAGAGGTAATGAAAATCTAAGGAAGGCTGACTTCAGAAAATCCATACTATGGTGTAATCCACCAAGGGATTATTTTTTTGTAGCAAGTCACAAATGAACATCCCATTGATTGATAGCCATAACAGACGGCCAGCCCTAGTGCACTGTAGATGGGGAATACAGAGAGGTATCTTCTACCTGGGCTTTCAGCACATGCATCAGGTTGCCCTTCTCCATGTATTCCATCACCAGAGAGTAGTTCCCTTCTTCTATAATGATGCCCAGCAGCTTCACTACTCGAATGTGATTCAGTTTGTGCATCATCTTCCCCTCTTCCAGGAGGGCGTGGTTGTACCTATGGACAGAAAAGGTGGGCAGGGCCAAGTCTCCCTGGTTACCATAGCTCATCACATCACACATGCTTTGATCACATCTTGGTCTGTTCTAATCTCTTTTCAGCATAGAGAGCAAGCCTTAGAAGATAGAAAGAGTTCTCCATCTTTCTATCCTTCCATCCAAGGAAATGGCAATGGTCACTCAAGACATGGAAATCAATGAATGAAGAGCACAGGGGCAGCAGCAACATTGCTGATAAAAAAAAAGGACTGTGCTGGACTGCAGTACGTAACTAGCTCATGGAGGAGACATGGGCAGAACCCTGCAATTAGATACAGTTCCTGGGGCCTTTCATAGAGGAATCTCCTACTTCCTCCTTCCTCTTCCTTCCCTTTCCCCTCACCTATCCTCCCCACTCCTATCCTTCCCCATTTTCCCTCCTTCTCCTCTACCCCATTCAATTTAGGTTTGGTCCTCACCAAACGTATTTTAATTGATCTCTTCCATTTCTTCTCATTGCTTCCCTCATCACCCTTCTATCTCTTTCTCTTGATTTCCTTTACTTACATTTCTCTTCTGTTTTTGACCACTTCTTCACTAACTGCTCTCAGAATCTGAATCATAGATAATAATATTAATAAGAGCTATCATCATCCCTGACCTAGAGCTGGTGTACTAAGACTCCCACCAAGATCTGCCTCATCTCGAACCTGGACTGTTCTCATTCATGCTCTGACAATAACAACACTCTCTGTGGAAAGCTGGTGTGTGACCTTCCAACTCACTCATCACGGTTGGGCCCAGTGTACACCTTCTTCAGGATCACAAATCCATGGGTACTATGGTAACATAAGGACACCTTCCCAAAGCCTCCACTGTCTAGATCTTCTTTCTGCAGAAGGTCACTGGATTTCATCTTAATATCATCCAAGGACATGTCTGGTTGCATTCTGAATGTTCACAATCCCAAATACACCACTTCTGATTTCTCAGTGCTGTGTTCTGTGAAAAAAAAAAAACAAAACAGGGCACGGAGCACCAAGATCATGATCCAAAAATACGCATCTTTTTTTCCCCTTAAGATAAACATCTCTAAAATGAGCTGTTTTTCTTAAAAACACAGAATACCATGTTTAATTTCAGCAGACTTTATATTTCTGATAATATGAAGCCCTAGAAAAAACAAAGGACAGAAACATGCTGGCTAATGTAATTCAAGCATCCACCTAGATGCACAGCTGGGCTCAGTGGAAAGGACAAGAATTTCAGGAACATAAAACAAGAAAGAAACATCAGACAAGTGCACTAGACCATGTGGTAGCTCTGAAGACACTGCCAATATCATCTAGACACAGGGCATTAAAGCCCCACCAGGGACAGGGCCTATTTTGAAGATATGTCCCTATAACCTGGACCTCCTCAGTGCAGGAGTAGAGGAGAAATAAAGCAGCCCACTAACTAATGAACACAATGATCTAGGAGTAGGCAACAGGGTGGTGCCTTCTTAACCCTAGGCCTTATTTAAAATAGTCTTGAAGGATCCTGGCTAACCCCTTCATACCTAAATTCCCCACAGGAAAAATTATGTAGAAAATTGTCACCCTTTTAGCATTTATACACCCCTCTCCCCTTGAACCTACCACATCTCTTTTGAGTACCTGTTTCCTGGTGTTTTATTTTGCTGAGCTTTGATTTTGCCTAAGGAATGACTCTATTTTAATTTTCCCTTGAAACTACCATATTTCAGGTTATGAATTGAAATTTGTATGTACTTGCATACCACCCAACATATTTATTTATAAATTTATAACCTAAATTTAGCTTCCACATATAAGGGAAAACATGTATCCCTTATCTCTCTGGGCCTGACTTAACTTCACTTAACAGAATTCTTCCAGGTCTTTCCATTTTTTTACAAATGGTACAATATCATTCTTTCTAATGGATGAGTAAAAATTCATTGCATATATACCATATTTTCTTGATCCATTTGTCCATTGAGGGGCATCCAGGCTGCATACCTTGGCCATGGTGAATAGTGCTGCAATGAACATGGTTGTGCTGGTGGTTTTACTGTAATCCTGTTTTCAATCTTTAGGCAAATGCCCAGGAATGAAATCATAGGGTAGTTCTATGTTTAATTTTTTTTTTTTTTTAGGAACCTCCACACTGCTTTTCAGTGGTTGAACAAGTTTACATTTCCATCAACAGTGTAGTTGAGTTCCCTTTTGGCCACATTTCCACCAGCATTTGTTATTGTTAGTTTTCTTGATGTTATTTTGATTTGCATTTCCTTTATGGTCAGAAATATTGAACATTTCTTCATGTGTCTATTGGCCATTTTTACTTCTTCTTCTGGGAAGACTCTCTAGCTCATTTGGTTTCTTGAGGGTTTAATTTTTAAGTTCACAGTATAGTCTGGATGAGAGGTGTCTGATGTGTAGCTAGCAAAAATCTTCTCACATGCTATGGGTTGTCTTTTTAGTTGTCCTTTGTTGTGCTGAATTCAGTTTGCTGAAGTCCCATTTATCAAATTTTTCTTTGATTTGTGAGTCCTAATGTTTCCCCCTACTCCTTCCTGTAATAGTTTCATGGTTTCAGGTCTTACATTGAAGTTTTTAATCCATATTGAATTGATGCTGAGGAAAGGTGATGTATAAGGGTCTAGATTCAGTTTTCTGCATGTAGATATCCAGTTTTGCCAACACCATTTGTTGACGAGTCTTTCTTCCAGACTATGTTTTTGGCTCCCTTATCAAATAGTAAATGTTTATTTATGGGTTTATTTATGGGTCTTCTTATTCTGTTCCATTGATCTTTGGGCCTCACCTTGTGTTAGTACCAAGCTGGTTTCATTACTATGGTTCTGTAATGGAGTTTGAAGTTTGGTATTGTTATTCCTCCAACACTAGTCTGCTGTGTTTACTACTCACTGTCTTTTGTTGTTTTACATGAATTTCTGGATTGGTTTATCTCACTGAAGAGTGATGTTGGGATTTTGATGTGTATTGCAATGAATTTGTAGATTGCTTTGGGCAGTATTGCCATTTTAATGCTAATTCTTCCAATGGAGAAGCATGAAAGGTCTTTCCATTTCCTTGAATCTTCCTCAACTGCCTTCTTTAAATTTTTCAAGTTTTCACTATAGAGGTCCTTCACATCTTTGGCAAAATCCTAAGTATTTTATTCTTTGAGGTTCTCACAAATGGAGGTGCTTTCCTGATTTCAGTCTCGATCTTGTAGTCAGCATACGGAGAAGCTAATGATTTTTGTGGGTTGATTTTATACTCTGCCACTTTACCAAAATTTTGAATCAGCTCTAGTAGCTGGTGGGAGGAATCTAAAGGGTCATTTAAGTACAAGATCATATCATCTGCAAAAAAGGAAAGTTTTTCTTCTTCTTTCCCTATTTAGATCTCCTTTATGTTTTCCTCTTGCCTCACTGCTCTTGTTAGGAATTCCAATACTATACTGAAGAGGTGTGGAGACAGTGAACATCCTGCTTTGTTAAATGGCAACTCCTTTGTACAACTACTTAAAGAAAACAAACATGTTGGTTAGGTAGGAAAAAACATGTACAAAAAGTAACCCACTACAAGGTTAAAAAGAGAAATAAAATGCATCCAGACTGCATAAATGAAATAAAATAAAATAGAAAACTGTCACAGGCTAATGACATCTTCAGGCTGTAAAGCTAATGGGGAAAAATAAAAACCTGAAATTAGGCCATAAATGCTTCTCATACACAAACAAGGCTTAATTTAACATAAGGTACCTTCCTAAAAATGATAAATCAAAAAAGAAAATAAAATGCAAGCTGTAGTATTGGTGGGTCACACCTGTACTCCTAGCTACTCAGAAGTCTAAAATCTGAGGATCATGGTTTGAAGCCAGCCTGGACAGGAAAGTCTGTTGAACTCTTATCTCTAATTAACTACCAAAAAAGCTCAAAGTGGAGGTATGGCTCAAGTGGTAGAGAACAATCCTTGAGTGAACATGCTAAAGGACAGTGCCTAAGCCCCAAGTTCAAGCTCCAGTACTGGGGAACATACCAAAAAAAATCCCCAAAACCAAAAAAAAAAAAAAACAAACCCAGCACCTGAGTCAGATCCTCAGAAGTGCTGAGCATAAGCTAAGGACTAGTAGTAATTAAAACATACTTGAGAGTATATACATTTAGAGTAATTATGAATAAAAGTAGGAATTGAAAAATGAAGAAGAATGTTGAGGTCTGAATAGAAAGATGTAAAAAATACCAAAGATTGAGACTTTGTCCATCTGTGCTATGTAGTGTACTGTGAAATCTCAAAACAACTATTCACTCCATTTTTTTCCCCTTTCATTCACTCATATTCAGTGACTTCACCCAAATGATAGGAAGAATAAAACCCCACGGAGAATCAGAACAACACCAATGGACACCTGCCAAGACATACAAAATTAAAATGACTGACAGTTTTGGCGCCTCAGTTGTGAATACTCTCCACCTTCCATAATGAAGAGACAAGCCACCAAAGAAAAATAGACAGCATATTTTGGTCTCTACTAGCTCCTATGTGCATCCTGGCTTGGTTCACAGGCCCTCTCTGTATCACCAGCCATAGGTCAAAAGATTTCTCTGAAATATTTGGGAGATCTGAGGAGGTTTTGGGAGCACAGGATGCAAATAACAAGAAAGAGCACTTATAACTTGGTTACCTTAAAACCATTGTTTTAAGGTCCCCAAGTTTTGAGTGCTCTACACCTTCCCCAAAAGAGAGAAAAGCCACTAAATAGAAATAGACTGCATTTTTCTCGCCCAGGCAACTCTGGTCTGCATCCATCAGGGCTTAATGCCCCTCACACTGTCCACAGAGCCCAGTCCAATTTGTTTCATCCAATTCTGGGAGAGCTGATCTGTGTTAGTCAGCTCAGGATGCAAACGACATGATAGAGCACTCCGAAATTGGTGAGCTTAAAACAGTTTTAAGGTCCCAAAGTGAGGATGCTCTACTCCTTCCCCAATGGAGAGACAAGCCTCCAAAGATATATGGACAGCACCGACCTTTCTCACTAAGCCCTAATCTACATCCTGTTCCATATACTGTCAACAATAACAGGTCCAATTATATTCCTTGCAATTCTGGGAGAGCTGAAAAGTGTTTGGAAGCACAGGATGCAAACGACAAGATAGAGCAACACAGAAATTCGATGCCTTAAAACAAAATTGTTTTTCAGGGCTCAAATTCTCAATGATCTACATCTTCCCCAAAGGAGAGATAAGCCTCTAAATACAAGTAGACCGCATCTTTCCAACCCAGGTTTCTCCGGTCTGCATCCTAGCTTGGCTGAAAGCCACTTATACTGTCCATCCACAGGAACCCGTCAAATTTTGTCTTCCAATTCTGGGAGAGCTGACCAGTGTTAGCGAGTTCAGCATGCAAACGAAAGTTTGAGTAAAGCAGAGAAAGTCAGATAAGGTGATGTTAATGAAATGAACCCTAAGATATATATTCGAATGTTTTTTATTTGCTTTCAAGCGATTGTTTATGACACATTCATAAGATCATTTCTTTTTTACTTTGTAAGTCCCTCCCCCATTGTATAACAACTGCTTTCACTGTATTTCATGTCAGTATAATTTGTGGAGGGGAAGGGGAAAAACAATTCGTTTAAATAGGGGTACAGGTGGACCCATTGCAAAAATGCGATGTACAAGTCGTTATGTCCAAAACGAACTTTACAACTTTGGTTTGTGAGTGGTGGCTGGTATGGGAGAGGGGAGGACTGTGGGGGAGGGCAGGAGGAGGATGGGAAAAGATGGGAATGGGAAACAAAGAGGACGTTACAATACTTTATAAAAAATGTACTCATTATCTTGCACCTGTAATTGTAAGCCCTCTGTACATTGTTTTCAAAAAAAAATAAATGAACAAATAAATAAATAAATTTAAAAACAAGAAAAAAATAAAATAAAATGACTGACAGTGCCAAATACTGGCAAAAACATGGAGCAAATGTAA